AAATTTCTACAAATTTTGAAAAAAACATAGAAAACGATAAAAATAAACAGATATTTTCTTTAATTTTAAAGAAAACCTATCGGTTTAGTGTTTTTATCCTGTTTCGTAAGGAAGACTGCGTGACATATGTCGATGATAATTGCAGTAATCATGAAACTCACAGTCTGCGAAAACGGGTCACGGAACCAAAAAAAAACTGGCTTGAGGTAAACATAAAGTTTAACTCGTAGCTCGAATACACTTTTTAAATATGAAATCTGTATCGATTTATCCTTCCAATTTAGACGATTTATAATTGGCGACGAAATTCGAAACAGAATTTTATTTATAATTTTATGTACCGTGTAAAACAGAAAGTTTCTATTTATTAATATTTCAAGAATTATATATTGATATTTTGAATATTAATAGATTGAAAAATCAAAATACATGCACAAAATATACCTCAGTGCTATCTTGTATGTGTATTGCAATTTTGTAAACGTTTTTCATTACATAAAATCACAAATAAATTCCTATTTTAAATTCAGTCGCGAGTTATAAATCAAGTTTGAAGCAAGTTACTTAAATAAAAAATAACAATAATTATTAAAAACGTTCACGTATAATACTTCATTCAACAAGTATAAGTTGCCATCTACTAAGCGAAGTATCTCGAGTAAACTGACACTATTTCGTGAAACCAATGGAAAGATAACTATGCATCTCGTTTCCTAACAGAATCGCATTAATATATCGGACGGCCGACAGGTATACAAAGCGCGTATTGTAAGTTGAGCAGATTGACAGAGTAACATAATCGGCTTTGCGAGAGTTGAAATACGGAAGCGCGAAAGTCGAAAGCGAGCGAGGACACAATTTCCCATCGGCGGAGAAAAAGCCGAGCCGAGCACAGGAACGTGACACCGCGCTCGCACGACGCGGTGGAGATCGCGACAATGTGAAAACTTACCGCTGATGCGTCTCATGGCGGCTCACGTCGCGGCTCGCGTCCGAGGTCCGTCGACCTGCTCGCTGCACCGTCGTCGTAACGTGGACGGTAGATCCTCACGCGCGACGTAAACACCATACCACACGGATCGGACACCGATGTATCATCTACGCCGTGCATACGTCGACGCCGTGGCGCGAGGCGCGACTCGCGCCATTGCTCGCACGAGCACCGCTCCTTGGTCGGAATCGTCGAAAGCGTACGTTCCGACAACTCTCGGGACGCGCGACGATTATGAGCGCGGGGATCGCCGCGTTCCAATCTCGTATCAAGCTCACGTCCGACGTAGCGAATCCGCGCCACGAGCGAGGAACAACACCGGAGAACGTCCGGACAACTCGCGTACGTGACGAAGAAAAGATTGCGGGATGCGACGGCCAAACAGACACCAACAGACACGCGACACTGCGGCGGCTTCTCGGCAACGCCGATTGATGCTCGAAGCCGCCGCCAGAGCGCGCAAGTTACCAGTACCACATACATATAAATTTGAATAGATCGGGTATAGAACGTATAGACGCATAGTTTTAAAACGGCATAAAAGAGTGAAGTTGAAAGAGGGCAGCTTCAATTAACAAAGAAAGAACAGTTGATTTGTAAACTCATAAAGTAATAAGGTAAGAAATGCATAAAAATGATTGAGGACGTTAGTATTAGATTGCAGATTCTAAGGCTATTACTGAGATACATTTGTAACAGCGTTGATCGTATTGTGATTTATAGGCTTCTTGATGCGTTGATATTGAGATATTGATAATCTTTGGTTGCCTTTTCATACGAGACAAGTTGCTAAATTTATATTGGTCGTTGTTTCAATAATCGACGATCACACTGCGCGATCGTCAGTTCCATCAGTTCCGCCGGTGAGACGACGTTTATATTAATTCGACGACCTTTCAACCCCAACAGCTCAGGTCTATCCAAGCGGCGTGATTAATTAAGTCATCCGGGTCCACCACGTGAAGAAGAACTCGAAGTCCCACCACGAGTTGAAGAGCCTAAGGCGTTTGCATCTGTCATTTGCATCAATACCTGAGACCCTCTTAGAGATCTTAGAGATCTCTCAGACCTCATAGATGTCGGATATATCCTTCGTTTCAAGTCGACGCTCATCTTCGACTTTGGAAGATTTGGTACAGGAGGAAGCGATCGAAACAGTAGCAGAGAAACCGTCCACAAAAGCTGCAGTTATTTTTCCTGGTATGGCAAGTGATGTAAATACGTGTGTTGCGACTGTTGGCAATCGGACGGCACCTTTCTATCGCAATTTTAGCCCCGAACACGAAATTATCTTGACTTGCGAATTTATCCCGATTACAGAGCTTATGGTTTTACTGAATTCACTGCGCAGAACTTATTTCCATGATAAAAACAATCGTGATGAGATTCGTCAGTATGTCGCAACTTTGCATATAACCGACGAAATTGTTTTTCGTCAACATCAACGTTTTCCTACGACATATCACGGCAATGTCACCGCTGGTGACATCGCAGATTGTTTGGGAAATCTGTATTTACTTTTTGACCTATATGACAATTATGACAGTCATGATTTGCATGTTACCAATAATCAATTATTGAACACAATCAATGCAACAAAAATCACTCTCTTTAAATCTGTATCGGATATCATTAATATATTTGTAAAATATTGTTGTAAACCACGTATCCTTGCTGCTCATGGTGTATTTAATCGTAAAACTTTCGAGGAGACTTATAACCTATGGTGGGGTTAATGAGTGTTTATTGACTATCGCGTTAGGGTGACGACTTGAACTACACCCGAATCTAGCCGAACAAGGATGACGACTATACACGGAGAAAATTTTATATCAAAAATTACTATGTACGGCATTAATCGCGGACCATGAAACCGCGGATCGAAAATTTTTATTATAGTTGATATTTAAATTTTAATTATATTATAATTTTTATTATGTTTCACATGTGAAAAACATAGTAAAAATTTTTATAATTCCTTCATAGTCCGCGGCTACTACCGTACATAGTAATTTTTTATATAAAATTTTCTCCGTGTAGCTACATCCATTCGTACCTTTATTATTAAAGGAGTCATGGATTTGTTAGATTATTATTTAGAGCGTAGTGTTTTAACTAATTTATGTATCAAGTATACTTACCCTTTTATTTAGTTTCTTTTCTAATAAAAAAATATTGTTACGCAAAAATGTAAAATAAATACAGCTATCGCGATATTTTTATAATAAATAAAATATTTGTATTTCTATAGTAAAATAGTGTAATAATTTATTCTTCTATTTTTCTCTTCCATTTCTATTATTTATGTTTCCTATCCTTTACTTCCGTTAACTATTTTCCAAAACGTGGAAATTATTTTGTAGTTTTATGACAATTGTATAATTTCATTGTGAAAGGAAACCATCGAATACACTAAAAGGTAGAGAAAGATGAATAAAATATTCATAGAAAAAAGTTCATAAAAAATAAACAGTTATTCATAAAATAACAGTTCTATATAAAAAGATCAAGACTAAATTATGTCTTTTTTTTCCTATTTCGATTTTAATGTTCTTGCTTAAAATATCGTAAACAGCTGGCATCTATCTCTTCTTACGAAAAGCGTCGCGCGAGCGTTTCGAGTAATTTATGTGAGTTAAGAGAAGCTTTTAACTGTCGGGCTGCTAAATTGGTCCGTATACGATACGACATAAGGCTACGGAACAATAGAACTAATTACTGTCGATTATCCAGCAACATTGGGTTAACCTTACGCATATACATATAAGCCGTGTTTGCTATCGTTAATCGACAACGTTCAAAATCGCAACGCGCGTAATCTTATCTCACGTTTCTAATTTAAGGATTAAAATAAAAGGGAAAGAGGGACAAAAAGAGTAGAAGAGAGAGAAGCAATTATGATTGAAAATAATATTAGCGGATTATTTTTTATATTCAAAAATCTTTAATTTCATCTTTCGGAGATATCAGAAACGCATGTTTTTAACGTCGTTCGACTGAAACGCCGTTTTATACACAGCCGAAACTATATATATGTATATATTAAATATTCTATTGCGTACTTGAGTGAAAATCTCGACAGATTAAATGCCTCTATATTTTTAATCAGCTTCCGGCAGACATAGTCCATATTTTAGATACGCAGCCTCTCGCTCGATATCGAGAAGCCACGTGCTACCGAGTGCTATATCAATCAATCCTGTGCTCGTAAAAAGTATCCTACAGCATCATACGTACGTACACGATATCAAACAGTGGACGATTAATCTTCTATTCGAGACATGGCACATGTCAAACGCTGTCAATTTATCCTAATTTATTTAAAACCAGAGGGAAAGAAAAGCAATTGTAACTAAAGGTGATGTTAAAAAATATTACGACGGAAAATCGAAAAGTGAAAAGACTTTTCGACGCGGTTCGATTCTTCAAGTGTCTTTTTATTTTTTTACTTTCCTCATATTCAAAGTATATTCAAAGTAGCCTGCTCCTTTTACATGATACGTTAATCATTCTGTGCGCTTCTTCCGAAAATATATGCGAGTTTAGAACATAAATGCATAATATTGCTGTCAAAAATTCGTTCCGTAAAAATTTACTTTAAACAAAGTTATTGATTGATTTCATTAAAAAAAAAGCTCAAAAGCTTGAGTTTTTTAAATTTAAGCGTACAGAAATTTATTCCTAGATGAAAAAAAGTGTAGCGAAGTCAACGGCGGCTATTGAAAAATCAGTAATTCTACTCGACAAATATGACAAACTCTCTATACTAATCGAATAATACATGAACGAAGCACGGCGAGGCGAAACGAGAGGACAAGCCGAAGGATAAGTCCGATAGGGCGATACTGCGCGAGATCACCATGGCGACAGACCGTAGGCCTTTCGATCTCTCCCTCTCTAAATGGTCCTTGCCCTTCTCTCGCGTTCGTACCTCCTGCTTATGTATATACTCTCTCGCTTCGCCTTCGCCGGCCCCGCGCGGCCGCTCTTTCCCCGACTTTCGACTCACCGGTGTCTGCAGACTCCGCTGCTCACTTCTTGATTATCAGCGCTTTGTCCTGAATGACGTGCTTGCTCGACGGCGTAGCTCACGGGGGTGAGGGATCCATACTCCTGGTGGTAACCCCGCGCGCTTCTCGTGCTGTTCTTTCGCCTTCCGCACCCCGTCGTCGTTGCCGTCGCCGTCGTCGTCGTCGTCCTTGGCGTTGCCACCGTCGTGGTGGTGGTCGTCTTCCTCGTCGTCTTCGTCGTCGTGCACATTCACCACTGTTCGTCCATTTAAAGATGGCCCCGCACTACCGTCGCGACGACGACGAACCCGGTCGAGAACGTCGATACGTGACGCGAGAGAATCCTGCTCGAGAGGCGGGGCGACGGCGACGGCTATTTTGGCTTACACCGTAGAAGCCACTCGATGATGACTCGAGCGACGAAAATTACTTGCAGCCGGTTAAATTTCGCACCGGAGCTGACGGGAGCGATAGAGAGAGAGAAAGAGAGAGATACCGAGGGCGAGGCGCCCACACCCGCACATGCAAGCCGCCAACCGATTCTCTTTCTCGCTCTTTCGCGTGTATGTCGGCAGTGCCGACACAATCCGTTGCAAACCCCGAATAAATGGAGAGCATCGTGCGATATCGCATAATTTTTATCAAATTAATTGTACAAATAAGTATTGCTCAAGATTGCAAGTTGCAGAAATTGCATATTTCACATTTCAATGGCATTTTTGTGAAAAAATAATAGTAAAAATAATTCTTTGAATTTGAATTAATAATAAAATATCTTGAGGGATATTTTTTATGTAATGTTTTATAATTCATATTCAATTTCTTAAATGCAATTAATTTTTAACAATTGAAATTTCTGAAGATATTTAATAAAGCATATATGAATGTGGAAGAGATTCATTCACCAAAAGTTAACAATAAGAAACATATTTTTTTATACAAAAAAAATAGAAAGATAAAATATAATAGTGACAGATAATGAGCTTGTAATTTTCTTAAAACAAATCGTTTGTATTAATAAATTAGGTAGACTTATGACTCATATTTTGATACACTGACGCACATTGAATTCTAATTTATTGCGTAATATAAACTAGCTTTTTTATCTTATTAATATTACGTTGGCATGAGATTTCGAACAAAAAAATTTAGGCTTTTATAAAAACCTAAATAATAAGTATAGGCATATACAATGTTAATTGCGTCATAATTTCTAACGAAAGCATCCGTTTTTTAAACAAGTCTTCATAAGTCATACTTGCGTATACAATAATTTGGGACAATTACAGTTTAACACACCACAATTTCTAATTAGTATATTGCTTTGAAAATTGCCAATATTATGCTCACGACGTACATATTAAACGTAATACAATTAAACACATTTTTTCGTCTTCTATTGCCCAATGTAATTTTCATACATGCATCAGTCATACATCAATATTATTATTATTATTTTGTTTCTTTTCTTTATTACTTTTCATTTATTATCGACTACTTTAAGTTACAACATAAAAATTCCACCCCTAAGACTTTGTATCTTTGACATATATGGAAGAAGTATGCAAATTTATTATTTTATTGGGCTTATCTTTATATAATAATTTTTTAATTTCCAAAAAAATAATTTAGGCAATAGAAGATTGGTCAAATTAATTACACAAACAGATAATAATAGAAATATATACACAATGTCGCATGTCAAGCTGCCGAATTATATGTCTACAAAACAAACAGTGGATAAATAACAACAAGAGTGATGCGCAATAGGAATAATTTAAATTATAAAATTCTTAGAATAATGATAAAAATAACCGCTTTCAAGTATTTTATAAAAATACATCGAACAATGATAATGCTCGCAATATTCATGTATTCTAATAAAACGTACCCTAAGAGAAATATTATATAAATATTAAAGTGTATATAATTGTACACTTAATATAATCTTCACATGCGTTACAGTATACGAGCTCAATATAAGTCGGGTAAACCGCGGCGAAAGTCGAGTTACAGATTTTGATTAATTGAAATAAGAACATTAAATAAAGTAATAAATATATAAAAAACGAGACTTTTTATAATAAATGTGTTTGTAATGAGTACCTGAAATTTCATTAGTAAAATTTATTTTATGATTGCAAATACAAGTCTAGCAAATAAAACTTGTTTTTACTTGCAATCTATAGCATACCGTTGCAAACATAGGAAAAATGACATTTTCTTTGCGAATATTGATATGAAAAATTTAATTACAAAGTATTAAAATTTTATTAGTAATTTTTGCATTAATAATAATATAAAATAATAAATAATTACATAAAATTATAAATTTCTAGACCATACATAAAGCAAATGTAATTCTCAGATCAAAGTTTTACATTGTTGGAAATAGATTACTTCAATAAAATCCATTATAATGACAAGACAAGGTTAATTATTCCGAAAGGATTAATTTTCATATCCTAGCATAAATTTTAAATATAATTTTATTGCAGATTATACTATACTCGGCGTGTATCGTTTTATATAAAGAGAATAATTTAGCATTATTTCACAGTAAATCAATAATTATAAAATATAAAAATAAATAATTAAATAAATTGAAAATATAAAATATCTAAGGAATCGAAGAATAGGGAAACACATTTAGTAAACGCAAAAATTTGCTGGAAACTTCGAAACTTAGCAGAATAAAATTTTCGTACACTGAAGAAAACTTACATGACTTTGATTATATTTGTTTATGTTTGTTCCTTCTACTTTATGTTATTCCATGATAAAATAATATCAATATACGAGCACATAGCAATATCAATAACATTAGATTGATTGCACATGCTTAAAACATATTTGCAATTATTAACATTTATCAATTAACATATGTTGAGTTGTAGCTAAATATATAAAAATATTTGTATAAAAATATAAAAATATTTGTACATATATATACAATATATATACAATTATACATATATATAAAATATTTTATATGTATAAATATACATATAAAAATATTTGTATATATTTGCAGAGATAAATCGTGCTTTATTGATAATAATAATAGTTCAAAACTATTTCCGAGTCAAATGTGCATCCCATTTCTCCATCCCTCGAGGACTCATATAAGTGCAACTCTTGGAAGCTTGGCGAAATAAATTAATCTTGTCTAAAGTGGATAAAAAATAATAGATTGTCTTTGTTTGCAATGTTGGGAATTACTTCCAAAATTTCAGTCTATTTTGTTAAAGCTTCGAATACTGGAATCAAATCGCTATAAATCTACAAAATATGTACGAATCTTGTTACGATATGGAGGCTTTAAATACTCTCGTGTACGTTATTATATCGTACAATATAAGATTATATTATAAACCTGATGAAAACAAAAGAGCGGACTAAACGCACTGTGTAGATTATATAGAGTAGATGCTACCGCTTCTTTTTCATACCCTTACGATATCCTTTACCAAACCAGCCTGGATTCTTTGGAGATGCTATGGGAGTGTCCGCGCGTATCATCAGTGCACCTTCTTCCTGTTTCTTCTCATCCTCGATCTTCGTTGATGTAGGACAATCTCCGTCACGTTGGTAGTATAAACAGGTAAGGGAGCCCTCATGTTCCATACAAAACAAACAAGCTGGCTTGGGTTTTGGTGCCTCCACAGGCGCACTAGGTACTTGTATAAAAGGATAATAAAATAACGGCGTTAATTGAGGATACATATACATTGGAGGAAACGGTAAGCCCATAGAGAGAAAGGGTAACGCGGCGAAAAAAGGCGCTGGATAGGCAGTCGTTGTGTCGGTCACCGCTACGGATGATACGCAGTCTTCTTTATCGTCAGTTTGCTGCACTGTGCGCTTAACATTTTCATCGCTACTTTGACTTAAAGGCTCCTTCTTGATCGCCGGCTCCTCAAGACATGGCTGACTCGTGGTGAGCTGTTCGCAGTTCTGAAGTTTCACCGCGTGAAAGAAGATCGGATCTTTCATGCGATTGTACTGCGGTATTTCTAATCCGAGATGACTCATGACTCTCTTCATCACTTCGTCACATTTTCCATTTATCTTTAAAACGGCATTTTCGTCCTTCGGAGTCCACTGCAAATTAACAATATACAAAGAAGCCCTTTTCTGCACAGGTTTGTCCATCTGCCACAACCATGGATATTTTTTAAGAACTTTCAGACTAGAACCCAAACATAATATGACATCTGCTTGTTTCGCTGCTCTGCTCGCTCCATTCCAATTGATTGGCCAGGGTAGATTACCTCTTTCACCAAAATGAACAATTGAATCTTGCAATACTGAGTTACATCTGTGACATAACCTTCCTGTACCGTGTTGATATCGCGCAGTTTTTTCAGTAACGTCAAAAAGTCTCCAGTATTCTCTGGATGGTTTGCACACTCTACAAACTTCCACGTACATATTGCCATGAACCTCGGATAAGAAATTACGCGGAATACCGCTGCGTAAATGTAATCCATCACAGTTTTGGGAGACTACATGCTTGAGCACTCGTGCTTTATACAATGCGTAAAGAGTCATATGGGTTACCGTTGGCTCAGCTTGGGTCAGATCGTGATTCCCAATATCCTTTCCTTGCTGCATCCGAGTCCAAACTCCATTGGTTCCTCTGTAATCTGGAATAGATGCCGCTGTGCTGATACCAGCGCCAGTGTATACTGCAAGCGATGTTGCTCTGCTGATTGCTGCTGCCAAACGCATACATTTTTCTTCCAAAATCTCGGGTGCATCTTCGACTTCTTCTAATCTCGCTTTTATTTTATCTCTCTTTTCTTGCCTGCAAATAAAATATTATAAGTAACTTTACTTTATTAAGAAATATATATATATATATATATATATACATACATACAAAATGCAAATCAAAATAACATATTTTTCCAATAATTTTTGTTTGTGGTTTTTGCATTAATTTCAGATTGTATTATGTATATTGCTAAGCATGTATTTGTAAATATTATTAAATTAATACTATTCCATATTGTTAAAATAATGTTTCCTTATGCACGATATACATTTATTTACTAAATTAACCAAAAAATTTATCACAAGAGTACAATATTATAAATAACTTTTTTAATAAATCTTATATAAGTTATTTTATTCAAAGGCAAAACTAACTATGAATAATAGTTCCAAAGTTAACTATAAACAAAGTAATCATAATTTCTTAAAACTATTATTTATTTTAGCAAAAGTCTATTACCGTAAATTAACCTCTTTTACTACATCGCTGCATGAGGCAAGTATTCCAGTCTCCTCCGCTGTTCTATCTATTTCAGATTTTTGCAAAATTGCCGCTACCTTAAAAAAACAATACATTTCAGTAAGATTTGTTTATGATATATCTACTTAGGAGACTACCGGATGATGGACCAGCGTTCGACGATATACAAAGAATGATTTTATCAAAAGGATCAAGTAACAATATTGACTTGCATATACCTTTTTGAACGTAGCTACTCTTTCGTCTTTGACTTTAAAAGCCTTTAAAGCGGCAGAACGTCTTCGCGATTGGAACTTCTCGTTACCCGTCTCCTCCATCTTTAATCAAAACGATGTGCTCAGTGCCGTATACAGTTCTATTTCCATGCTTAATACGCCATGTCTCAATTGCAATCACTACGCTGTTTTTATTTTTTTTTTTTACGAAATCGACATCGGTTGGCACGTTTTATAGAAAGTTTTGTCAAACTTCAATAAAACATTTCGTGTTTTGTTTCAATATTATTGATAAAATAACGATAAACACAATGGCGCAATGACATGCGACAAACAGTCGATCGGCAATAATTGAAAGATCTTTTTAATTAGTCTTGCAGTGTTTACGTAATGATTAGATTAAACAATACAATGGTTCTGTAATCGACGAGTGAATGCTCACTATCAATAAATGCGTTTCCAATTAAAACTTCTAACACAATCGTCGAAAAGTTGAATTTTTGACGCTGATATATTAATCTAGTATTTAGAAAAATATACAACTAGCAATATACAATTCAATAAGAATCAATCAGTTGCAATTTATATTTTTAAATTTAGGAAATAATTTCACAATATATATATATAATTAGTGAAAATATAATCTAGTTCATTTTTTTTTTTTGTTTTTTTATAATTCGATACTATCGATATACGTTCGACTCTTTTGTCTGAAAATTTCGACTGGCGCAAATTTTAAAATACATTTTGTGTAGTACATTTTCACATTAATAAATAATTTAATTGATTGTGTTAAATATTGTGGCTAAATATTTTATAATATCTCTATTTAAAATGCTATTGTTTAATAATTCCACAAAATTTATTAAGTATAGCGGATAAATATCAGTGAATGCTGCATATGCAATTTTTTAAAATGAATGATATCAAAGTACAGCTGTTAAATTAATGATTATTATTACGCACTGTTATCGAATCCTTTATAAGATCTGATAGTTTGATATTTCTCGGGTAATTGGAAAACTACTGCATATACATCGGCTAATGTTAATTTATCAGCTGCATTGTGATATAATTTATGTTAAGGAGTTGCATATGCACATCCATTGATGATTCATCCACTATACTTAATAACTGTAATAATGCATGTAACACGTACAATGACTCATTTGCATATACTCTGTCGGTGAAAAATGATTAAAATGTTTATATCCATATTTAGTTCAATCAGTTTAAGTTAGGTTAGGTTAATTAAGTGGAGACCCCTGAAGAATAAATATCAAAATGACCGTCTTTGTTTACTGAGGACAAACACATAATTTATCTGACAAATAATAATATTGGTTTGAAAAATGTCTGATGATTTATTAGCTAAGGAAAAGGAGTTTCGCAGATTGAATCGTGAGCTGCAATTAAAGACACGTGATGTAATGAAAGAAGTCGATTCCATCATACATGCTTGTGCTAGCAATAATTTGTTTAGCAATACAAATCAATCACACTTAGATCTCGTGACGAAAGATGTAAAGGTGACAGAGGATGTAACGTCGAAATTAGACAAACATGGAAAAACATCATTAATGAAGACTCCTGAAACTTCGTCAATAGAAAATCTCACTAATGTACAGAATTTATCAAAAAAGGATAATAATTTAGGAAACAGAGCTGTTGTTAATTTACTCAAAGGCAAAATAGATATGCTATATAAAGAATTACAAGCAATGCAATTTGAATATAATAAGAAGGTAATTCTTAAGTTTGCTTCTTATCAAGATTGCAATTGCATTATCGCACAATATTTGCACCAGTAGAGAGCACTTAAAATAGACACAATAAAAATATGCATTTTTTTTATAAAAATTCTCAAATCTGTGAAGTTAATTATGAAGTAATCCTGTTCATAGTGTGATTACTCTAAAGAATTAGAAGCGGAAAATAAGAAACTTGAGGATGCTCAAGTTAAATTGTACAATCAGATAGCAACGTTAAAAGATACAATTACAAAGTTGGAAAATATAAAATCTGACGCACTGTCAAGCTGCCAAACTTTGAACAATGAGAATGTTGTCTTGAAGAAGGTATTTTAATTTATATTTTAGTTTCATTGTACAATACATCTCCCCTAAATCATTATTTTTCTAATCATTTTTTTTCAGGATTTAGAAGATCTTAGAAAGGAGGTAAAAACTTTGAATCAACAATCAATTAATTATGATGTGAGATTAAACAGATCTTTGGAAACCAATGAAAAACTTAGAACTGCATTAAAATGTAATCAGATAGAAGAGAAGGTATGTCTATAACAAAATATATGTACATGATTCTATCATGCATATGCATATCATTCACTTTGCAGGAATTAAGAAATCAAATTAGGAAATTACAAGAAGACAAGAGACTAGCCGTAAAAACTTTGGAAAAGCAGCGATCTGAACTAGTGCAAGCATTTAAGAAGCAAATGTTGCTTATAGATAATTTAAAGAAACAAAATGTATGTATGAAATTGATTAACATTGATAACAATGTACACACAAACTTATATTGATATGGTATTATAATGTGATTTTTTCAACTTTACAATTCAGATGTATCTAACGGGCAATGGACAAATTTGCTTAATGGAAGAAGACTTTGCAAAGTTATTGGAATGGAAACCTCAGCAACTCTGATATATTGTATATAAAACATTTATTGAGAGAATGACTGCTATACATTGTGAGAGATAAAATCAATTTCACTTTTCATAGCCACTTATATTTTACAGTATTATGTTACAGCACAAATTATTTGTTACATATTTTTTTTTTTTCACAGAGAATTTATGTGTATCTCACACATCACATATCAAAATCAAGTGTTATTGGACTGAGATATTTCGTACTTTTTCAATAAAGACTTATATTTGTGATTCATGAAATACTATTATTTTCCACTCATGATTTTGCAAACGTTTCTGTTTCACTTTGTGAACATAGAAATTTATCGATTTTATACAAAACAGCGAGTGTATCTGCTTTAAACACATGATAAGAGGAAGGTTTTTTTTCAACGTAGTAGTTGCAAAAGAATTATTGGCAGTCGCTATGGAAATCATATATTTCACGGATACGTTTGACGCGATAATTATTTTCTATATCCGGGAATTACAACAATCAGTAAAAAAGTATATAACAATAAAAGCATCGGTAAAAAAAAAAAAGAAACTTGATTTCCATTGTGACTGTACCAAGTATCAAGTCTCTTTGCCTTTCACAATTTCAAATATTTCGTTCGGTTTATTTACATAACTTCTGTTTTGTGCAAAGAATAATAACTGACATTAACAGACTTCGAGTATACAAAAATTCGAAGCATCAAGATTTTACAGTGTGTCAACGCGAGTATAAATAATTATTTGCCCTTATAATCGTGGCGCGCGAAAAAAGTGTCCTGCGAAAAGTTACACGAAATACGGCGTCTTTTTTTTTTAGAAACATTAATGACATCTTGCTGAATGCTACATGAATGTTAGTGTCTGTGTTAATGGAGAATTCTAAAGCCTCCCCTTAGCCTAGATGATGTGATGCATACCGTAATAGTACACGTCTAAACTTACAAAAAAAAAGCGATCAAACATATTTTCGCAAACAATTCGTCGAAAATTGCTCGTTTACATAGAGATATTAAATAATAGTGAATATCACAAGTATATGGATAAAGACCGTGTAGTGCAGTCTGTATCCCTCTGCACAACCTAGCTTGAATAACATTACATTAATGATTTCGCAATTCGAGAAATTCGCAGTTACACTTTATTTAATAAAATACATTAAGTTAATGTTTCTGTAGCTAAATATGTGTGTAGATGTTGTTACTCGCCCTGCGGACAAGCGTGTTAATGCAATTTAATTACAATAGTTCTCAATTTATTCCTCTCGCCTTTCAGCCTTATTTTTTTCCTTTTTGTTTCTTTGTTATTGACAATATGCGATGAGAAAATGTCATTCATATCCGAATACCTAAGGATCGTGATATATATATATATACGCTTATACTTAAAATGTTTTAAATCTTTCTACTTTTTTCGTTCATTTTATATACATTGAGTTTTGAAACTCAATCTCGAAATCGATTGTAATTGTCGAGCGCTTAGTTACAGGACAACTACAACTCCTTCTATTGAGAGTTCTGAACTTGAAATTCATTTAAGCACCGCTCCTAGCTGTACTTTTATCTTTTCAGATCGTACTATACCGCAAATATTAGCTGAGTTGTTTCGTATTGCACTTCGCATACCAAGCATTTCTTTCATTCTCTATTTCAATAATAAAAGTTTTACAAAAAATTTAAAGAAATTTATGACGAGTAAGTTAAGATCGGCATTTTGATCCTCCAAATCTTGCCCCAACTCAAGAATAATTAAAGTCATCGCCTCCAGACAGTCTACGTACAAGATTATACTCTTAAATTTAATTTTGTCAGATATTGATTTTGATCAGTCGCTAATTAATGTGAATGGTGTTATCTTCAACAGAAAATTGTATATCAAGAAATAATGTCAGATTTGTAATTCCTAATTCGAAATATCATCCATTTAAGATAGAGATTGTGGCAAAATTATTATCTCTATCTGCAAAAACAATTCAATTACTATAACTAGAATTAATAACAATAGAATTTTGCATCCATTGATATAAAATTTTCTGATCTTGAATATGTTTATTGTAAGTAGATTTTTGCTAAAATGCATTACTATCTATGTGCTCGCAAAAATCTTTTATAATTTGTCTCGTTATATAGTACAATTTATTGTGAAATTATGGCTTGTTTTTTTTTTCTTGTATAACGAACTATAATTTGCGACGATTTGTTTGATGATAACAATGATTGAAATATAGACATGGCATATATCTGTTACTTTCTTCACATATATTTCACAATACATCTTATTTGGTGAAAAATAGATTGTTTTTGGTTAAAAGACCAAAAATATCAGTGATATTAACAACGTAATAAAAATGTTTTTTTTTCTTACAATGCTGCAATGATAATTTAAAATCTCCTGTATTCTATAGCGAAGCAATATACTCCTGTTTTTTTTCCTTTTTGTTTTTTTTATGTGAAAGATAGCATAGACAGTAACACATCTAGCACATATTCTCTTTGACATTTATGAAATAATTTAATTAAAATTTTTATATAAAGACGTTAATGAAATTATTTCATAAACAGCCAGACTATTTAAATGCGACCAGAAGGACAACAGGGTACAAAGGCATCCATGTACAGAATAAAATTATACATTCGAGACTTAAATAAATATTCTGATGGGTATATAGCAATGATAGTATAAGATTATTTTTTTCGAGTATACGACTGCTGCTGTATCGTTGTCCTAAATCGACTGATCATGCCAGGTAGCTGTAAGTGTCCTTTTGACCCTCTGTGCGTTCCAAATATTCTTTTTCAATTAAAATATCTATACATTTCTGAAAGAAGAAGTTTTCGTTAAACATTGGTAATGATTCTTGTATGAACATATTCTCTTACATTTGTGCAAATTAATAATGTGTTTATAATACAGGAAGAAAGAAACAATTTAGATATGACAGTATATATACACATAAAAATTTATTTAAACATATTTTTTAATAAAAAAAATTAATTAATCACTCACCTTAATAACATGTACTCTGGGCTTGAACCTAGAACTTAATTGGTTTAATACTTCTGCTACCAATTGTTGATGCTTCAATACTTTCCGCATTTTCATAATTCTAACAATTGCTGCTTGAATCAAAAGTTTCCTATCTTCTTCTATGTGTTTGTGTGTGGTTTCTTGTTCAACTTTCAATTCCGTCTTCATTGGGATGTTAATATTTACTCTTAATTTTTTACTATTAAACAAATAAGCATTATTAGATGACTTACTGCAGAGAATAGATATAGAGCCGGTTGTTCCAACTTCTTGGTAGATTTATCCGTCAGTTATTTATTAATAAATATCAGTAATCCTACTCGATAGTTGTAATACCAAGTAAAATTACCTCTATCGTTATTATTAAGAGAAACAACCAGCTCTTATACGTATATAATAAAACATACTTTTTGTATCCCGTAAAAAGTTCTACCGTCGATAACGGGGTCAATTCAGCTACGTCATCACTAGCTGCAGTTAAAAGCTTGGCTTTCAAAAGTATTTGAATAACCTTCGCAAAATACAATATTTTTTAATATTTTTGTCATTTCGTTATTTATATATCATGCTACATCGTGTCATTATTTTTACCTGTAGTAAAAAATCCATTTTAATTTGTGTTGCATATTGCAATTGTTGTATTGTCCACGATGTAGATCCATTGTACGCTAACAAAACTGCCATTTGGAAAGTCGACGCTTGCAATGTGTATCTGTTTTTAAAACAGTTTGTATGTAGCTCCCCTTTAGACATATTATACAACCAATTTAACTTTCTGCCACTGTGTTGCGAACTATAGAAAGTGGTAAACCTATGTACAGATCTTTCTAGCTGCAATTTAAAATCATCAAATAAATAATCGATGAAGACTTCCACAAAAAATTTGCGTTTTACTTGCATACTTTACCTCTGTTGGCAAAGAAAATGTAAAGGATTGTTGGAATGGCCATGAACCTGAGGACAAAACCTGTATACTGAAATCTATGTCCAAAGGTTCAGCAGAATTTGTCAAATGCCTTCTGAATGCCTCATTTAGATCTTTCGATACACCGATATCCTACAGACGGATACAATTACAGTTACACTGTTACACATTTCTCATGCTTCTTAAAGGCTAACAAATGCATTAACCTATTTGTGAAATCTCGAATAAAATTAATATACATTAATAACATTACAAAAATAATTTTCAATAAATTTACATTACCTGGAACATGCGCTGCAACTTTGAAGTATACTCAAATCCACAAGCTTGCTTCAACTTAGAAATCATGGAAGCCTCTGCGTCGTCACTAGCAGACATGTGTTGTACCAACCGTTTCGCCAACATCTTACTATAGAATTTTTGGAATACATCTTTGTCTTCGATATATTTAAATACAACCATCTGTATAGAAAGGTCATAAATATAATTAGTTCATTCACAAAAAATCAAAAAGAAAAAAAAATTAATTTATTCCATAAACCATACTTACAACTTGATTAAGAGTATCTTCAAGTTCCGCTTCTTCCGGATTTTTACTGCTCTTCTTGAGTAACAAGTCGCAATATTTAGCTAATAACTCAGGCGATTTACTGCTGCTGTTTGCCGCTCTTGTGACAGAATTGCTATTGATAAATTTTCCACAAGCCTTGTCCAAAGCCGCTACAAAGCCGCTATCATTATTAAATGCAACCAGCACTAAAGCGTTATACTTTTTGTGCACCTCCAAGATTGTGTTTACATAAATTTTCGGATCCTGCAAACGGAAAAAAAACGACTGTCGGTGTTCGCTGCCACTTCGTGTACTTACATGTACCACAGTTACATTAAATAAAGATCACTTACATTAGCTGCGGAATCGCCACACTTATCTATAGCAGCAAGTCCCTGATTAGCAATGTGACTTTCCAAGAGATGTCTCAGCTCTACAAGGCCATTCGGTATTCTCGCCACCAACTGATACATTCTGCCTAGATCTGTATTCTTATCGGCGTCCAACAGATTCTGGAATTCTGAATGAAATATGTCCATGTGTTTATCAATAAGTACTCTCTCGCATGTTTTTGCCAGTCGTTCATGAGTCGTCTGATGCAAGTAAACGCGCACTCGCTTTTGTTCTTCCAATAACCTCTGTTCCGCCTGCACAAAAAAAAAGATATAAACATGTAAAATCATGCTTTTTCTATATTTACTATAGAATTTCTTTCAAACATACCTTTTTCATATATTCTGTTACGGGATTTTGTCTAAGGAATTCTAAGCTTTCACGAGTATAAAATCGTTCTGTATCCTCAAGGAAGATATTCTCAAAGGAATCTTTGTACACTGTTAGATTTTGTCCCTTAGCACCTGGATCTTCTTCATTTAGACCCAATTCTACATAACAATTGATGACACCACTAACTAATCGAGTATTTATTGTTTCACCATTACGTTCTCGTTCAATTAATTTAAGCACTGCATTTGTAACCTGGATAAAAAATTACAAATTACAATTACATAGATAATATGTATTTAACGGACATATATATATATGTTGACAAAAAATTACTTACCTGTCTGTTTAAATGCTTAAATAAATTATCTCGCCAAGTAACCAATGCTAATTGGTAAATTTCGTAAATTCCTTTGCGACCCTCCTCACATTCTCTGCGTACCCAATGACGATTGAGATATGCACATACACCATTTAGCACTTTACTACTAAACTGATATTCCTCCCATTGTCTTGTGTAGAATTGCAAAACATCCTCATCCATCAAATCAATTCCATGCTGTGTGCAAAAAAAAAAATATAATTGCAACAAAATTTATTCAAAAATTTTCTTCGATCAAAAGCTGGTCAACTATCATGTATTTACCTTGAGTAAACTAATAAGATAATTCCTAAGAAATTCACGCAGACGTTTATACAGTTCCAATCCTACTAATTGTGCACCTCCTTGTTGAATTTGTCCTTTTTTACTCTTAGTCGTCGTCCTAGTCAATTGTTGATGAACGCTTGTGCAATAATTATATACATGTCTAGAAATATCAATGTAGCAGAAAAAATATATGTATGAGAATTGATTTACAAAATCTGTATAAAGACCAATGTCCACGATGCTAGAAATCGGTCTGAGAAACATATAACCCATAACATTGTCATTTTTTCATAAAAAATACAAGTTGATTGGTTATACATTTCTCGAACCGAGATCTCGGACCGATTTCTAGCATCGTGGACATTGTGACCTTAAGAATTGGTTTACAAAAAAATAAAAATAAAGAAAGAGAAAAATTCTTCACAGTTCAAAGGATACGTGTACAGCTCTATGTATCGTGGTTTTGACATGCATTGTCTATTGTAAACTTGTTCTATGCCTTCGCGTAAATCTCCCCAGATTTGATCCAGATCAATCTGTTTGAGGCCAGGAGGACCACCTTGATGACTTCCAGCACCTCCACTTCTATGGCCAGACATTCTGCTCCTATTTGTTTGTCGAGTGAGCGTCACTGTTACTATGTGCTACTACAATTTCTGTAGAGAGATAAATACAAAAATAAACACACTTGATATCACAATAAGAACCAGTTGTTTATACATATCAGTTGCGATGCAATTTAAAATATATTATAAAAAAAGTATAAGATAAATAAAAATATTCTATACACATTCTTACATTAATATTGAATATTTAAAATAAAAGATGATAATTATGCATATATTATGTATACATTATTCACTCTTAAAATCCATTATTTGCTCTCAAATTATCTTCTAATTTAAGATAAATGATCAGAAAACTAGATAATTGAACAATGCCATCCGCGTATTTTCGTGCATTCTCGAAAGTTTTAGAAAGAACTCAAAATTCGTATTTGGCAAAAGGAAAAGTTCGCATTTGTGAGAAAGAAAAAAGGTTAATCGACGATAGGAATTCCGTTATATTGTGCAATGCGCGATTCATTCGTCGGGAGAGAGCGAGGGAGAACAGCAGATTTCGGGGTGGAGACGAAGACTGGCGCGTTTCTTCCGCGTATATATGTATTTATATATATACGTGTATCTATGTGCGTGTATATGTACATATACATATATTTTTTTTCGTAGCGTGGAGTGGACGCGCTAAACGTGGTCATGCATTATCGTCGCGCAGAAGTTGCAAACCGAGACATTCTCGGGAGCAGAAAAGGAGTAAAAGAAAAAAGCGTAGTACTCACCACTGTCGATGTTCACCACCGCATAACAGGAAGGAACGGTCGAGAGACGACTTTCGTGTGAAAACCCGATGCTGGCCAGTTTTGCTCCGCGAATGTTCGAACGCGCGTTGTTAACGTTGCGTTCCTCCTACACGGGAAATTTACTGTCGGAACTTTCTTATTCGCTATCTCTGCGTCCTGCGCAGCGATGAGCACGAGTAAGATCGTGCAAGTAACCGAAACCAACGTATGTAGCCAAATAATTGCTCACGGTCGCGAATCCACTGCTTCGCTTCTGACAGGTTAGGTGGCAGCGTCGCCAACTTTACCACGCGATTTAACCATTTTTACGAGGACCTTCTGCCTCCTACACACAGAACGCGATAATGCAACCGGAATAACGTGGAGACACAAGCGGCAACCAATCAACATTACGTTTTTCTAGAATTTATGGACGTGTAGCGAGATATGATTGGCATCGCTCCTTGCTGCGTCTTGTGCAAGAGCCAACAGTTTAAGCTTCGTCATTTTGATTGGCCAAGTGCGATTGATATTATTTGGAGAACTCGTGGTCATCTTCACGTTAAGCTGCGGCTAACTTTACATGTTGCCAAACCAAACGACAGTATTTTTTTTCTTCCGATACTGAAGACACGAAGAAATATATTTTATTAAATAAATATCAAAATGGGTTTAAGTCCGACCACGAAGCAAAGGATAGCCATTGTCATGGATGTGACCAAATTTATATTTCAATGGGGTTTTATTCCTTCCGTTCTGTTTTTAGGTTAGATCTTTATGTATTGAATTGACCTTTATAACATTTTATATATTTTACATACAGAAAAATATTGAAAGCTAAAATGTTTTATTTTTAGGATTTAAAAAAGGCGCAGATCCAGGCATGCCTGAATTATCTCTTATGAAGTAAGTAGTCTTAAAGAAATTCTTTCACATGTAAAAACATTTCTTTTTAGAAGAGAAATATTTCTTTTTATGAACAATACATTTTATAACATTATCTTCGTTTTTCAGTTTATTATGGCAATAGATTCTGTCTCCCCTGGATACTATTTTCATTCCAGAAGAAATCATGTGTATTGTCTATGTTGCATATATTTATTTAAGATTGTTAGATGTCCGATTGACATAAAAAATCATGTCTTATTAAATAAATAATAAATACTATGTGTTATTTGTTATTTTAAAAGTATAAAAATATTTAAAAGCTTCTAATCTTTTTGGTATATTGGATACTTGCTGCATAGTGTTATTTAATGACTAATGGCAATGTGATCCAATGTAAGAGCGTTACAACAATTGATTAATTAACCACAATATAACAGTATAAATAATACTTGGACAGTAATTGTTCCAATTATAATAGTATAATTTTCTGTGATTTAAAATTAATTTACATATAGACATTAAACAAGACTGTGCTGTATAAAACAATTTTAATTACATACAGTCAAACAAAATCTAATTCTATAACTTAAATTAAGATTAATGATCTATTATAATTAATTCATCGATCCCCCAATCCTCATAACTATTATCAGGCAGATAACGACGTATAATTATGGGAATCTTCCGTTGTTTTAATTCTTTCATAGCAATTTGCAGTGGATCTGTCTCGCCTTCCAATTCTACCATTACAGGAGCGCACATTGCAATCTGTAGTGCTCTTGTACCTAAAACTCTAGCCCTTTCATACCTATAAAAATAAATTATACGTTATATCACTAATTTAACTCATATTTTTGCATGATATAAATAAATTATATACTTTGTCATATATCTTGTAGTTATCCTCTTTGATCTTTGAACTCCGCCACTAGCTTCATTAGCATTCAACAACTCGATATTTTCACCATCATCTTCCTGGGGCTCTAATTCGATATTGTCCTCGTCATCTACATCATCAAAATCATCTGCGACCCTGCAAATAATTAGATCATTTAAACAATCATTTACATGTTATCAATCATATGCAATCAATGTTAATAATCTTTAGTTATTCAATTGACAATATTTTTAGTTTTATAAAAATATATATAAATCATTAAAAAATTCAGTTTTTTAATTACTATCAAAAAATTGTAAAATATAACCTATAAAAGTACACCAACTCGTTACTTACTCATCTGCATCAAAATCCTCATCAGCCATTATTTATTTATATACGTATATGTTATATTTAATAAATTTCAATGACAAGTTAGTTGTCGTAATGAAATATTTTTATCAATCACTCTTGAAACTCAGAAACGATATTTATTTGAACAAACTGAACTGACCGGAGCAAAACCAACACGCTCAAGCAGTGATGCCAGAATCTCTGTATTACGTTACGTCTTTGGTTGTATTGCAATGAAGAACATTTCGATGTCGCTAGTGTACACCGTGTACACTAGTGCAGAAAATTTAGCAAGGAACGAACATAAACAGACGAATAAATTTTTAGTGTATCCAGCGGCTGCTTTTTTCATTCTTTTTCAAAATGTTGCAATCATGGATGTGGATTGTTTGGAATGTATTATTTTTTATAATCTCTTGGATTGTATGCAAATTATGCTTAAAGCTGCACAACCGTTCCAAAAAGAGTGTTTGCGTGGTGGTGCTCGGTGATATCGGCAGAAGTCCACGAATGCAATATCATGCGATCTCATTTGCCAGAGAAGGCTTTATTGTGGACATCATAGGTTATCCTGGTTCACCGCCTATGAAGAAAATAATGGAAAATAAACTCATACGGATTCATTATCTGCGATCACCCCCAGAATTGCTAAAGGGTGCGAATCAATTGCTTAGTTTTGTACTCTCAATCTTTATATTTGTTCAGATTTTCTTAATTGTTTATATACAGAGCTTTAGATGATTAGAAAGCATTATTTGTTATTGCAGATTTGCCAAGACTTCTGTACTACATGATAAAAGTGATATGGCAAGTTAATAATGTTTGTATAACATTAGCTGGGGTACCTCTATCTGAATCATTGATAATCCAAAATCCGCCTACAATACCAACAATTCCAATATGTTGGTTGTATTGCATTTTAACGAGAACGCAGTTTATAATCGATTGGCATAATTATGGACATTCACTTATGGCATTAAGCTTGGGAGAAAATCATACTCTGGTTAAATTGGCAAAAATGATTGAGATAACATTTGGACGCAGAGCCAACAATAATTTTTGTGTTAGTAATGCAATGAAAGAAGATTTAGAGAAGAAATGGGCCATTCAGTTAGTAATATTAAAAACATTTTTCAGTATTATGTATAATTCATTTATATTTAAAATTGTATAGAATATATTTTTAAGCCGTATACTTATACACTTTTATACTACATATATATATAATAATGAGATTTCTTGCTTATTATAGAGCTAAAGTTTTGTATGACAAACCAACAGAAGGATTCCATCCAATATCAAAAAAAGACAAGGCTGAATTTTTAATTAAGTTAGTTCAAGAGTATAATTTATTTCCATGTTCATGTAAACAAACTGGCCTTATTGTATCCAGCACTAGTTGGACTGAAGATGAAGATTTTTCAATCTTGTTAAATGCGTTGCAAGGTGCATCTACATAGGTTATTTTATTTCATAATTTATTTTTGCAAATGAAATGAGAAAATAGAATTATACTCATGTTGTGTTTTATAGCATACGAAAATGCACGTGAAAATAATGAGTTAAACTTGCCGGATTTAATATGTATAATAACGGGCAAAGGACTTTTGAAGGACTTTTACATGGCCATTGTCAACTTGAAACAGTGGAAGCATATTAAAGTAGAATCATTATGGCTTGAAAATGAGGATTATCCAAAAATGCTAGGTATTTTTGCATGATATTAAAATTTAACTATCTAATTTTTTTTTTTTTTAGTATATATAAATACAATTTTTATAAATCATCGTATAAAATGTTAAATATTGTTTGTTTTAAAAATAGCTTGTGCAGACTTAGGTGTATGCCTTCACACTTCATCCAGTGGACTGGATTTGCCAATGAAAATTGTCGATATGTTTGGTTGCCGCTTACCAGTCTGTGCATACAATTTTAATTGGTAGATGCAAATTAATACAATTTAATCTAGCATTATTATGTTGGTACAAAATTGATTTAAAAAAATGCTTTCTACTGTTTAGCTTATCGGAGCTGGTACAACACAACGAAAACAGTTGGGTATTTACAAACGAAGTAGAGTTGGCACAACAGTTGAAGATGTGGTTTCAAGATTTTCCTAATAGTGAAACACAACAACAGTTGCGGAAAAAGTTTCAAAAGAACATGTGCAAGCTACAAGATTGGCACGGTAATTGGAAACTTAACGTGTTGTCTTGTTTTTCAAATTAATTTTTATTGTATTTTGTTTATTTTACTAATATAATTATGAAAAAAAGAAGAAAAATGTTTCAGTTGTCAGTTCAAACGATAACTGAAAACTGAGAACTAAAAACTTAAACGTATCATCTTATTTTCAAGATTTTAATTTTTATTCTACCTCGTATATTGCAAAGTTTTAAGAGAATATGTTCTGTGAGAATGAATTGATATTCCCCAATTATCATTCCCAGTAATCCGTAATAATTGGCTATTAACATCTGACGTCTTATTAACATTTTATTATAATGTTGTAGTATAAAATTTTAAATGATAAAAACTGCATCAGTAACATTATAAAGTCACGTTTGAATTTGTTGGGGTTTCACCCACTATCGTGTATTTGATATCTTTAATTTTTTCTAAAAAATAGGAAGGTCCAGTTTTGATTGCAATAACGCTTATACCAGTAGATATAAAACAAGCATGACCAAGTTGTTCCTTCTTACATGCATAGATGTAAGGAATATCTCTTGCTTCTGCTAATTTCGTTAAGGGTGATAGGAAGTTCAATGGTGCTGATAAATGTGTAGCATTCTCGGCAATTATGATGAACTCTGTCAAGTTTTGTTCCACCGAGCTGATCACATCGGTCAATCCGATAAACAGCATACTCCTCTCCACATAATACATTTGTCGAATTATCATTAGCAACTCGTTAGCTAATTGCTCCATTGCAGTGAGATTAGCATCACTTTTTTTGGACTGTATGAAAGAATCATAAATATGAACATTCTAACGCATATATCGGACTGTTTTAATAAGATTGTTCTAAAATTAATATATTTGTGTTAACTTTTAAAAAATTAAATCAGAAAATCTATAAAACAAATGTATACAGAAAATTTATTCATGAAATCAAAATACATTATTTTACATTAATTTTTGTTCTAAAATTAATATATTTGTGTTAACTTTAAAAAAAATTAAATCAGAATATCTATAAAACAAATTAATACAGCAAATTTATTCATGAAATCAAAATACATTAATTTTTACATTAATTTTTTATTAATACTCTCGTATAAAGTTTCACATAAAACATTTGTAATCAATATTTTTCATAAAAATCATAATGTTTTTTTTTTATGATGACCATGATGGATTGATGATTACAAAGATTGATAAAGGTTAATGTTTATACTAATAGACATAAGGGCATAAAATTAATGAATAGAAAAAACCCAATTCCAAGTTAAATTAAAAGTCGTTCTATTTCCTGTTGTATGGATTTGATTTGTTGTTTCAATTGTGAACCCTCATTGATTAATACAGAACAGGCTACTACTGGCCTGGAGACTCCACAAGCTCGTCCCAATGCTTGCTTACTTCGTACAAATACATAAGGTACATTCTTGTCCTCGCATAATAACGGCAAGTGTAAGAGAATCTCTAAAGGTTGCGCATCCGCCGCCATTACTATAAATTCTGATAATCCACGATTTAAGGATTTTGTAGCTTCATTTGCTCCCTTTTTTAATTGCCCATAACTTGATGCTTGCTGAACCAAGTTCAATATTTTTATCGTTAACGATGCATCCGCAAGAGGATAAGCCTTCGGTGACACCTCATCCGTCTGAAAAAAAAGTTTAATGTCAATGTGATGTATTTATTAATTGTTACTCAATTAGATAACGATGTGAAAAATGTGTGGTCATGCTTGTCAGTAATTATAAAAATAATTCGTAAATATATTGCAGCACATCCACGTGGAAGAGTTAACCTAAAGAACAACAACACAATGTGCCGCATTTGGAAAACATTGTAATATTACTTACCATGTTGGTTAATCTTCTTCTTCTTCTTCTTTTTACGAATATTTATCGCTTCAGAGATACGCTTTATTCCTTTTTTATCACTTTCTTCTCTTAAATTTATAAACTTTCTTTTGATGTACACATTAATAACTGTTAGTATTATAACTTCCTTTGCTTTTAGATGCTTTTGGGTACTTTATGCCCTGCGTTCGGGTGGTTCAGACTCAGACCAGTGCTGCCAGCGTACATTTCTGCACACGCGCCAACGGAGAATCATATGCGCTCGGCCTTTGACTGATAATAGCAGAGAACAGACAACACGTATCGTCTTTTTTCCCTTTCTTACCCATTGAGTTGGCGAGCCGACTCGATAGAGCCGGCGAAGCCGGTCGAGTTTACGCGTGACGTTCGCGGCCTCGCTTTTTGGGTATTGGTTTCCCTCTTCACTACGGCACTCATGGTACCAGTGAGTTCGAATTGGCATCACTGCGCAACTCTTTGCTAGACCGTTCTTCTTTTCGCGCATGCGCGTCCAACCGGAACCATGATTATGATCTCGCTATCTCGCGTGTCTCGTTGTCATTCGTCAACATTCTAATCCGCCACGTTATCATTAATGTCAGTTTGGCGCAAATTCCGAACACACATGTACATAGTTCTCAATTGTGTGCATATGCAGTTACAAACTGGCATCACTGCTCGTTGTTTCTCCTTATTCCGCCAATAAATAACAATTGATAATTGTAATATGAATCAATTGCATGAGCCAGTAATACAATTTAAATGTATCGATATATTTTCGATATTCGTAAAACGAAATGATACATAAAAAGATTACATCACGCGGAAGTCGAATGAAATGACAATAGCGGCAAAATGATAATATTATCATTATTATTTTGTCAGATAGATTTCGTTCCTAGTGGCCTTTTGTATAGTCTTTTCCTATCATTATTATCCGAAAGCGCTAATGTGTATTATGAAAAAATATTTTACACAAAAAAGTTGTAAAAATTGCACGATAACAAATGAAAATATACTAAATAGTGTAAAATTTATAAAGTCGTAAATTTACAAGTGTGCATTATCCATGCCGAATGCCACTGCACGCTTAACAAAAGATAATAATAGAGAATGAGATAATTTATGAGCTTTTTATCATTGCTGTGTTTTACCTAATAACACGTACAACAAGTGTAAATGAACGATTTCTGCAACTCTGCATCTCTAATATTAGAAAAGCTATAATAAAGCTATTTGAAAGAAAAATAGTGAAAAGTTCAAAAACTTTACAAAAGGCATCATGGAAAGATATATTATTTATCACATGCAAATTTCTTATAAGCAAAATTATTTCTGATTTGAACTATTTTTAACAATTAATTTACAGTTACCTGTACGCAATTCTCTTCAGAAGTGTAACAACAGGAATACTCGCTCGTGCATTGATACATGTTTTCATCAGAGCATGGAAAAGTGAGCTGTTTTTTATTACACGCCATCTTACTTGAATTTAATCTAAAAAAGTTCACAATAACAAAACGAGAAACTTATTTTCAAAAATGGCAGACGTACCTCTTTGGTGATTTCTAATTTATATGTAGATGACATAACAAAAAAATTATTGACAAGCACAAGAAAATTTTGATAATTTTGTCGGATTACATTATTTAATTACCTTGGAAACAATCGCAGATGATTTTATGCGAATTGAAATTTTTATACTAGTAATTTAAATCCGAGTTTTTCATTCATCTTAATGTGGAGGTATCCTTGGAATACGTTCATTTTTTGTATAATAAACTTACAACTTATTGGTTATTTATCAATGACAGGTTGTTCAGACAATGAGTAATAATCGCGAAACTTCGTTATGGATAAATACATATCGCTTTGATTCGAAACTGGTTAAAACATCTGCAAATCGGAGAATTATTAAAAATTTCTCTATACATCTGGTATGAATATGAAATATCTTGTTTCAGGATTAAAACGTATCTCGAAAGTAAACTCATTGTGATCTCGCAAATATCTACTTCTTGATTACTATAATCAACGGTATTGTACAATACGTGGCGTTGAACTTTATGCTATAATGTAACACAAGCAGGGCTGGGCAAACACATTTGAAATACAAAATACAAAATACTAACAATTTTAGTATTTATTGCAAAATATCTTCAATTTTTTTATTTAAGATACAAAATTTTTGTATTTTAAATAAAAGTAATGCTATTTAATTAAGCCAATCTATTAATTATAAACGTTATCAACCATATCGCTCTTATCTCATACAAAGTTCATATAAACATGAACTGTCAAGTTATTTTAATCTGAGATGGCCGT